AATAGTCTCATAAGTACTTTGCATTCTTCTACCAATAGGTTGTATTGATCCATCCGAGCCTTTTCAATGTCCACATACTGAAAAATGTATTGCATTACAATTTATTTGCGATGGTCACCCAGACGATTGTCCCGGTAATCTAGATGAAAATGAAGAAACGTGTATAGCAGGTAATAAGAGAATGGCATACATAAAAATAGTGACTAAAAAATATTTTATTTAAGTAAAAATACGAAGACAATTGAAGATTTTTAATGAACCTTTAGAGACTATTGATAGTTGTAGATAAGATGTTGACTATTTATCATGAGTATGGTTGCCTTATAGAGAGATTTTCTATTTCGAATCCAACAAACGAGAAATAGGTTAGTTAATATAAAGGTTTCATCACAGTTGAAATAGGTGAACAGTTATATTAGAATTAAGGAATCTCATGAAAGTTTCAATATATATTTTGTTTATATTCCAACACTATTTGATGAAAACTTGTTCTTTTGTTTTTTCGTTTATAGCAAAACGTCCAGCGAAAGAAAATATTGAAAAATTGTTGCATGCCGAATATGTTCTTCAAGGAACAAAACTATTTAAATTTTTATTTGGATACAAACTAGGTCAAAGTATTAAAGAAAACAAAATGTTTTGGTTAGATGCACTAGCATCTGCATTTTCAGGTAATAAAAAATGTTTTTATAATCAATTGTTAATTGTGATGTTGAACTGCAGAGATTCATTGGTTCATGTTCTCTATTCATCTTTCTTTCCTAAACTCGTCATGCAAGGTGTAATCTTTGTGCAGCGAACAACGTCCTATATAATGACGATATAGTAAGCAGACTATTTCAGAGCTATTTCTAATGACATTAGAAAAATATCGCTCATATTCTCGTTTAAAAGGTCATAATAACATTTATAAGCGTATAGATGCGAAATTTCATGCCATTTTACATAGATAGATAATGCACAGTCGGAACCATGTGGACATTAGGTGGAAAACTGAAAGTGCCCTTTTTGGTGATTCAAATCGTGGTACATATACTTCGAACCATGGGCTATTTAATGGCATAAAAAGTTTTACCACTAGTGGTGAATTTGCGAAAAAAATGCATGACTAAAAGACAGCCCGTATGTTTGCGACCTGTATGGAAAAATAAAATTTTCCTTAGATTTTACCTTTTTGAATTTGAGAATGTATATATTCGGAATCTAGGACCTTTTGGGTATCGATTCACAAAAAAAAGCTTCTTTTGGAGACTTTAGCGTCAGAAAAATTAATTTTTCTTTCAACGCTAAGTGCTTTTCGAAGAAGTATGCTCAGTATAATGGGTTTCCGAATGTTTCAGAGCTCCAGACTGATCGAAACTTTCATAGAATGTTCTTCTCACAATATATCTGTACAAATAGCAGAAATTAGCATAAATGATCCTGGAGAATGAAATGATTCTTATAGGTTTTTCAAAAAGCCTTGGGTTTTCAGGTAAAATTCATTTTTCTCACCCAGCAAGCACTTCCATTAAAAACTAATGACATATTTAGAATCAGCGCATCGAACTGCATCAAGTGATATGCCAGTTGTATGTTTTTATGCGCAAAAAATTGTTCGATGTAATGAAATGACAGATTTCCAGCATTCCCGTACCAATTTTGGCTCGACACGTGGACATATGTCATAAAAAGGACACAAAAGTCCCTAAACACTATTTTTATAGATTTTCGTATGCGCTCTTTCCCCTGGCGTAATTTACAAGTTCAAAGATGTTTTTATCAGGGTTTTCGAAAGATCCGGTCTCTGGAAAACCCGATTGAAAGTGCTTTTAAATATTATGTATTTAAACGCACAAATAAATCACATCATTGGAAAGAGCGCATACGAAAAGTTATAAAACTAGTGTTTAAAGGCCTTTGTATCACTTTTATGATACATGTCCAAGTGCCTAGTCAAAATTGTCCACTGTGTAACGGAACAGGTGCATTGCTGTATTAGATTTTTCTATTGCTATTGGTTTTAAAAACAAATAGTCTGGATAAAATACTTTTTAGTAGAGACCAAAGTCTTCGATACTAATATCACACACATTTGTCAAATTTGTATCTGGAGTAGCATTTTGACAAAATTAAGTTTCATTCATCAAAAATGATTAGGTTCGGTAATGAACGACTACTATCCTATGAGAAGTACAGGAATTAGTATCTGTCTATGTTTGAAAAGAACATCAAATAATAGAAGTTTTATACAGAGCCAGTCTCCCTCAGTTGCCTATAAAATTATATGTGGAACAGAATTACACGATAGGTAATTAATGTAGAAAAAAACAACTTTCTTCTTAATGATTGTTCCAGTATGTCACCTCAACGTTATTATACAAGAAAATTCTTTCATTTTTAGTTGCAAAAACAATACAGAGTTTTGCTGAAAAACTTGGTATGTCAACTGAGGATCTGAATCATTTTCAGCATGTAATGGTAATGATACACAGTGGACATTTAGAAGAAATTCCGTTTTATGCACAAGACGCTGTTACACAAGGACTGGCATCGCTCGTTGAAAACCTTTATGAATCTGGTTTCATGGATCAATAACAATATCATCTTATTGCGTTTCCATTCGTTCTAATACATTATAATCACTTGATCAGACGATAATTTAACACTATAGAGTGATTTTTGGACAGTGATAAAACACATTCAATCATCAGTAGTCCTCTAACAGCAGATACATGCATAGTTGTGAAACGTTTAAAAATCATTCCTTTGACAAGAGAGAGATGACAAGAAAACAAAATAAGAGTACACAAAAGGATCGTGTATTATACATCAAAAATACAAATTAAGATCTTTTCCTATCTGTATTTGAAAGCTGATGCTACAATAAGAAGATAGTGTTAGGCAAAAAAGGGGACCATAATTATGGAACAACCTACTGTGAGTTTACGATTAACAGTTCTGTGTGGTGTTGGAGTTTCTAGCAGTTTTTATTTATGTTAAATCTTGAAATGTACTATACCCTATTATGATTTTATGAAAATTTTTCGAAGAAAAATAGTTCCTCCTAAGAACAGCAGGTAATTTGGACTACTTAATTAGACTGATTTTACTGATTCATCATTCGTAGTGAGATATTGATAACAGGCGCTTGGTATTTTTCTTGTTCAACATATGCATGAAAATAAATATTATACTTCAGATATAACATTTCGCTCAAGGATTAGGAATTTTTGAATATAATTGTTTAAACGTCTACTTCAAAAACGTCACATCAGACAAAGAAAACTATCAGTTTCCATATCAACCCACAGTTTCCGAGCTAAGAAATTATAGATGAAAAAAAAACAAAGTTAATTCTATTTATTGCAATGAAATCTGTTAATACTTCCCATTCTGATCTGAATATTATGTCTTAATAAAAAAAATATAAAGCTGATTGTACTTCCGACTTCTGTGGAATAAGATCAGTAGGATCCAACTTTGAGGCAAGCTGATCTTCTGTTCAGAGCTGTAGTTGACATAGAACTATGTTATTGTTATTATAGAGCTATTGTGTATTATAGAACTATGTATGTTACAGTATTACATATCAAACAAAAGAATTCAAAAAAAGTGCTGTTCCTCATGTGCTCCTGGCCATATTTAAAAGTGTTCTCTTCTCTTTATTGTACCCATCACACCTGCACAGCTGTTAATCTGTTATATACGAAGAAATGAAAAAAAATATCACTCTTCAGAGTTTGGCGCTTTGAATGGTAAAAATTGAAGAAAAACGCTCTCAGAATTGGATAAGAAAAACTAAAAACTAGTGAATCTTGCAGAGCTTGATATTCTCTATCGAATGAGGTATTACTTGCGTTTTTCCATTACAGACTCATTTTACAAAGTGGACTTCTTTCCAGTGAGACAAGAATAGTTAGCATTAAGTAAGAGTTATTAACTATTTTTCTAAAGGAAAGAAAAAGAATGATTGATATTCACTCTTTTCCCGGTCGTTCTACGCAAGAATCATGTTTTTGATTATGAAACATAAGGCCGAGCGAATTTTTCTAAAAAGAGCTTCGATGATTGAAAATTATCTTGAAATTGAGTAATCGGAAAATTTCATGTTATACACTTTAAAATGTGCTCCACAGACCAGCAAACTTTGAGCCAAATCAAAAATGGGTAGACCTCTTAAACAGACGCTTTCTATTTCTTAAGGATATTTCTGCAATCAATATGAAGCTCTCATCAGTCACACTTTTCTTACTTTATCAGTTTATTCATGATCGCTTTCCGGTTGTTGCAAAATGGTTTACAACAAATAGAATGCCATAGCTTCAGCCGGTTTCCGATACACAACATAAAAGAAATTACACATTTGGAAACGTCAAAAGTATCACTTCATTCGATTGAGTTTTGAGGGAAGTATGAATTTTTTATCCCCAGTTAAAACGAGTAAAAATTCAACGCCACAGCTAAGTGACGATGTAGACCGATACAGGATATAGTCTAGTGAATCTGAATCATATATATTAATTAAAGTTTCATTGTTTTGTCTGTTCGAGGTGATAACCTCAAAAAGTGTGGGTAAGGTACATCATTACCTGCAGGTGATGTTCTAGACTTGATATCGGTTGTGAAAAGATACGGTCAGTTCTTTTTTTCTCTTCAACTATCTCTTCAACCATCCATCGCCTAGGCCTCGAAGACACCTTATTTTGAAGTGAATCGTTTTCTTTATATATTGGTGAAGGTCATCATGCTCTAAGTTGTGTTTCAGTACCATCTAAATTATTTCAAATTACTATTACTAACTCAGAAATATTGTGTGCTGAACCTTTTATGTACCAAATTTTTGAATAGTGATTCTTGTACATCTTGATGAGGGCTATCGAATGAAACTGTTCTCAAGCTTATTAGTTCTGCTGATTGAAAGAACGAACGGTTTGAAACGTTAGTTTTCTTTTAAATACTCGCCAATTCTTGTGTACCGAACGTATAATAATTTCAATGATATTATCGAATAGGGCTCATTTTAGAGTATATGTGGTAAGAACATAATTGTATCTCATGTGGTTATGGAGAAAATTAATTTTTACAACTTTATTCTATCCAAAATTTTCTTTCTTTTATCGACTGACACCTACTTTCAAAAAGCTTATACTTCCGAACGAAACTTTTGTTTGAAATAGTACTTGCAGACTATTCCTATATAGACTAGATCTACACACTATGTGAAGTTCATCAAGATCTATGATAGTCATTGAGCATCGCCTACTGCAGCTCGGGGATGTAACCAGTATCGAAAATGCGATACCGGTACCGGTGACCGGTATACAAACTTCGTGCCGGTACCGGCCATGTTTTGCCTAAATACAAATACTTTTTCGAAATCAATTGTAAATCAATATTTACAAATACAAATTCTTGAGATTTTAATTTTGTGTGAATATCTGTAGATGACAACTTATCAGTGTCTATTTATTTAAAGTTATGATCAAGTTTCATACATGTGAAGAAGTCTGTTAATATTCAGTGAACAAAACCGATTACTCCTCCTTTGATCAATTATTTATGTTATCAAAAAGGGATGGATTAATCTTTTCACTTTGATTATGTATAGCCGATGAGTCTGTATATGCTATGTCAGCTCACTATACAGCTGAGCTCCCAGTTCAAATTTTAAATTAAGAAATTCATATAAGCCGACAAAGTTTAAGTAATTGGAATAAATTTTTAGCGAAAGAAATATGTCACAGACGGTATACCGGTCGGCGTTATAATTCATATCCGTACCGCTTCTACCTCTACTGCAGCTCCCGCGAGATGACTCATAAACCCTTTGATTGATAAAAAATATTGTAGTTTTAAACTCTTTGGTGCTAGACTACTCCCATGTTGCAGCGGGCACTTCGGACCATCTACTAATATAAAAAAAATTATTGTATAGTCATGCTAATTTTCGAAGAACCAGAGTGATTTCTCCACGATCTTCTTCTCAGAAACATCCGTTCCGAAAGAATTTTAAAATTTGCGTTGCTTACGAAAAGATGTCCGCTGGCCTCTTCTGTCGAAGAGCAAAAATCGAGCACTTCTACTTTTTTTAATTCAAAAGTTATTCAAAATATAGCAGACTTCATTGTATTTTGAAATGAATAGTAGTTCGTTTTCGGTATGGTAGTTTCATTGAGGTGTGAAAATCTTCACTAGTATATAATAGATGACGCTATTTCTATAACAGAAACAGACATCAAATTGATTACGGGACTGAAATGTCAGCAGTTTACAGACTTTAATACACTTTAAAAAATCTCTGATGCAGCACTTACTGTAATACGATACTATGTACAACGACGAGCAAAACAGTGGATATTCAGGTCAGCGTGTATTTAATCTGCCTAAAAGTGCAAAATAATGAGAATATTGCGTCGATTTTTTAGCGGAAGAGAAAAATATAGATTAATTTAGCATTTTTTCTACATTATTTCTGCTTGTATATCGAGTTATATATTGTCAACCGAGAATTGCTCGTAAGTTTACTGTTAGGAAAACGATACGAGCACCATGAGCAAAGGCAATTCATTATTCAAATCGGAAACGATAAAATAGAAAAAACTTTTAGTTCATCATTTTTTGGGCTGAAATAGAGAAAAAAGCTGTAGTTGAAGGTTAATTCCATTTTAAGTAATTTGATGTCATCTTGAACGACAAATTCACGTACAATTTTCAGCTAATGTTTTACAACAAGACTCTTCGTACTAAGAGAAAGAATGCAAGAATAGAAGAAAAGTAGAAGATTACATTTGTACACGTGAAAGAAGGAAATGCCTACTCATTCCTGAATCGCACTCTGTATAATATAAATGTCTTCGATTATATGTTGTTCAACGTATGAAGTTGGACGTGTACATCATGCATCCTTTTATTTGTTTATTATTGATCTCAAAAATCAGATGTATTACGGTCTCCATACTCTGTTATTATCTTTATCGAAAATGATTGGCTGCTCCCTGTAGTACTTTATCTCATCATTGCATTTTAGACATAAATTCGTGAAATAATTATTTTTATTTCTAGGACCTGCATTCCCTATTTTCGGTTCTCGTTGACATCTTGTACACAAACGATTATAACTGTAATCTGATGTTGGTTGTACTCTGTATACTTGTTTTCGTTTATTTGTAATCGGAACACTTTGGGGTCGAGCGTACCGGATAGGACTTGAATCATGGGATCTGTGCGACGGACTTTGATGCTGGTAAGAACTCACTTGATTTTGAATCATATAAGTTTGTATTTGTCCTTTTTGATAGGTATTGTTAAACGGTGAAGAAGGATTTTTTTTCATATCATTTTTTGCTGGTTTTGTTGTAACGTAATTTTGTCGACGAGGCGAATCGTCGGAATCTGCTTTGTTAGATGAATTGATATTTCTATAGGTAAGATAGATGACAATGTAAATAAAACAGGTTAAAATGAATAAGCCAGCACACAATAATTGTATACTCATGAAGATACGCTTATAATTCATAGTGGTTTGAAATGCGCTCGGCCAAGTTACGGAGACTAAAGTCAAAACATATGACATGATCAATTTTTTTATCTCTCTTTGAGAAGAAACATCTACCTGGCCATCCGGTAACACTGGAAGTTGAATCGACTTGAATTACGGCATTCGAACAACTGAGAATAAAACATCGTGTTGGATCGATGTCAATCAATATATCATAAGCGATTAGTACACAACATAATACGATGAGAACACAACAGAATACCAAGGCAATACGAAGGAAGACTAACCGTGATTTACAAACTAAATGATAAAAATGACCGGAATAATGTTTTAGAAAGATATTAGTGTAATTAATCAATCATCAGTAGCACGCACTGTAAAAAAAAACAGTGTGTCACAGAATAGTGTATTATACTCCTACTAGCATTAATATGTCACAGTTACATAGGTGGATGGCGATACCTAATTCAACAACAAGCATAATTGATTGAAGACTTTTACGCTGTTATTTATAATGATATTCCAGATACATTTATCGAACTATATACCATTTCATTTCATTTATTTCCTCCTTTTGTCCATAATTTTGTGATTAATTCAAGTACAATGAGGATTTTAAGTGCAAACAGATATTGTGTTAAAATGTAAAATTTTTCATCCCCAGAATTTGAACCTCTCAGAATGTGTAGTGTTCCAAATCGAGCTTCGGCCTACCGCCATATATAAGAATGTATTGAATTTAAATTAGAAATAGAAAAAAATAAGGAAAAACAATCATAAATGCAACTGGAAAATCGCTCTTTTGAGCGTTTATGTTCCATGTTGCAAGTTTAATGCAGTTTATTGAACTTCTAGTATCTGTTTTCCTAGTAAATATTTATTCTTTTCAACTTGTGCTCGTAAAAGGTACAATATTTGCACTAATAGTATCGTAGTTCATTAGAACACAGACCATGTGTTACTTTGCGATATATCATGTTTTAGTGTGAGCGAGATGAAGTTCCTGAAATTATGAGTTGTAGCAAAGCAAAGTTTTAGTTTTTCTTAAACAAAAAAGTATATGTTTTTAACATACCCGTTATTAGAACAAATATGGCACATATTAATAATGGTATAAACAGAATGAAACCTCCAAATGCTGTCGAACGATAAAGATCAACAATTGTATGACCAACTTCCATTCCAGCAATGACTAATGCTAGAAAAATCTGGATTATCCCTAATAGAGCAATCCATTTTTTAGGCCATTGTAAGAACCATCCATATTTATTGATATTACTAAACGTTTGATTTAACCCCATTTTTGACACCTTATTATTCAGAAAAAGGTATAGCAACTATTATTTCTAACGGTAATATGAGTTATTGCTATTTTTTTGTTGATTTTATAATTGTTATTTCAACATAACTGTAAGAACAATAAACAGACGGTTGATAACGATGACTTTTTTTAACGCTTTTTCAAAATTTTGGAGTGTATTTGCAATCATCATTCGAAGAAAAGAAATTGTTTTTCTTTTGATCGTGTATTTAGTGACATATGCATAAACTGAAAATGCTTAACAAACAAAACCATAAAAACATGAAAAAAAAAGAAAAGATTTTCTAATTTAAAAAATAATCGCTCAATTAAACGTGAATTTCTGATCCTTTTTTTCCAGTTAATTAGTTTCTTTTTCTGTCTATTACTGTTACAGCGTAATTGATGGCAATACTATTGATGTCTAGTCATAGTCATCATCATGAACAAAACAATTTTATTTTCCAATATCCAAGATAAGTTGATATTATTGATCACTTCTCAAAATATTTTGGTTTTTTCCATTGTAGTAATAATATATATAATTTATGCAATAGAAATAGTTCCATGTTCAATTAAACAAGTTAAGTTTATAAATTTAACATTAAAAATAATTTTTCATAAAATCGATTGAAATGTTTTTTAACTGAAGGTACCGATAGTCTTGTACTGATTACGATTATTGACAATTAATCGGTCAAAAAATTTTGCTTCTACGATACTCAACTTCCGATGTCCTTCATGGACAAACATCTTCGAAGTAAGATTAGCAGAATTAAACATATGAAAAAAACGTTGTGCGCATACCAAAATGACCACAATTGCATTTATACTAGAGAAAATGTTTATTCTTTTGCCCCAAAATGATAACAGAAAGGGAAATTTTTTAATTTTTAGCAAAACGATTCCATCTTTCATGTATTTTGCTAACAAATTTCCTATAGATATAAATCAATGATATTACTCTCAATCCAAGCCCAAAGCAGCAGAATGAGCATATGACAATGGATAACCGTTCGATCCGTAATCTACGGTTACGGTTAATCGTAACTGGTGCATGCCTAGATACCAATTTAGACTCATAATCTTTTTCTCTGAACTCTATGTCGGGAGTGGCACGAATTTAGTTTTCTTTTCTTACATTTCGATGGGAAACTTTTTTGAAACTTTTCATGTTATCTCTAAGCTTTTACAGTACCAGGGTACTAACGATCACATATCATAGTTTGCTAAATGCATCTGTAAGCTTATGTTTACCAAATTCTTGTCTGGTGCGCTTCAAAAATCTTTAACTTTGTCTACACTCTAAAAAAAAACGTACTTTAAATAAAAAATCAAAAGGGTTTTTAATTTTTGTTCTAAACCTGAAAGGGATTTATTAAAACATGAAAAACTAAAAAGCGTTTTGTAATCACTACAAAAAGCTTTGGTTTCGTATAAAATCGTATTTTTAATTTTTTGTAATAATAAGTCGGTATTGTAAAATACGATGGGAGTTTTTGAATTAGCAGGAAGTACCCACACAGTTTTTCTGTCTGCTGCCAAACCCTCTTCGGTTTATCTGTTCCTTGAGGAACCGAAGCTGATTTAGTACAAATAATCATTGGTCTATAGACCAGTGATTATAGACCAAGAAATTAGATACCGGTCAAATGATCTGAGACTAGGATAAAGAATACATGAGATAATGATATAATTTTTTAAATGAACAAAATTATACTTTTAATAGTTCTGTTCATATAAGTAGTGATTTAGCTATTTAACATTTTCATTCAGTTATTGTAGTTTATTGGCTTTTTAACTGTTAGGCTTAAGTTTCGATCAAACTGGTGATAGATAACTAGCTGATCAACTTAGTAATTATGTTATCACTTATATATCAGGATGAATCAAAATTGAAAAGGATCTTCTCGATTAAATAATAAATGGACAGTTGCAAATGTAAACGACAATGATGCTTCTGTTGATATGATCGAGATGGCACTATTTGTTTCATCAGTTTCAGAAAATTAATTTGATATCAACTCTTAATTTATTATCTTAATAAGATCATTTATTATCAACAAGAACTAAGATTTTCTGCATTTTTTTCAAGTTCTTTAGGTTTGCTTGTTTATTCTTTAACACATGAATTTTGATATACATTATGATTTTATCTACTACTATATTAGTTCCAACTAGTGTTATGTCTACTGTTTTCTAACACTTAGAGAAAGCAGTCATTCCAGTCTCCTATTGTTTAAACATAGTTATTCGAAAATTGTACTTTTAAAAACGTTGAATGTTGCTTTATCCAATAATAGTTGGTTTGAAGTAGTTGCTACTGTAATACAAAAGTAAGCAAGTTGGTTTCTATTTATTTTCACCTATTCTTGTACCTTAAAATCCTTGCTTTTATTTCTCTTTCGATGTTAATCAGTGAACAGCAAATGATAAATAATAATAATCTGTTGTATCCAATTGAATTGATAGGACATATTTAACTACTTATAGGATGCGATCATATCACAATTGAATACTCGTCATCCACAATACTCACAGAAATTTAGCGATTAGATTGTTGACCACATTTCAAATTTTAACCTCTTATTCTTTCAGACTGATAGTAGATGTAAATAAATATTTGTCATACGTACACAGCAAAAGAAAAAGCGTCCAAAAGTTGACGCTTTTTAGTGGACGCTTTGTTCATCACATCTTGGTATGCTTTTTTTCTTTATGTTTTCTATTGGACGCTGTTTTATGGACGAATTTTTTCTTATGTTTTTAGTCACATAAAAAAATCAAAATTTGAAGAGACTTCCAAATAATATTTGATTCAGTTTTGACCGCACTGTATTTCGGAAGCACGTCTGACCTGCTGGACCGATCTAGTATAGTAAAATGTCAGCCGTTTCTGCGATAAGCTAGTGCAACGAAACGATTCATCTACAATATGCACTTAAATACTATGCTTATCACAACACTTCTATTTGGATGAATTTTTATGGACTCATTATTGTCGACGCTTTTTTTACTATGCTTTTTTGTGGACGTTTTCTAGTTGGCGCTTTTTTTCTTGCCGTGTAATTGAACAAGACCTGTTATCAAATGAATTTGATATGAAAATGATATAAATTACAATTGGATCTGTATACCGATCGAAAAATCAGCAGCGGCAGATAAAAAATATTCATCGATCAATCGGCGGTTTTTTCCAACGATGGTAAAAATGCAATCGAATGATTACGAAACTTCGTTGAAGCTAAGATTTATTGTTTAATTTTATCGAAAACATTTTATTTTTGATTTATGCTCAATCAAAAATCTAACTTTACAGTTCAATCACAATCTAAAAATTCAACTTTCATAAATTATTTTTGCCAGAAGAGTTAATTGCCAACTGGTGGATTTAACGTGGTCATGTGGGGTAGTCTGACACTGTGTTTTCATCATTCATAGTTTGCGAGAACTATTGGATGTTGGCTAAAGGTTTCAATGATAGAAATTGAAGAGATAATTATGAATGAATTAAGAGTATGTGAATACGGTAAAGCGGCGCCATTTTCTGCGCAATATTTGCATGCCGGGTTTCATTTGTGTAATATAATGAACAAGTGAAATCGTAAGTTACCAAGTTTCTGTGTTATCATATATATGTTTATTTTTATTGGTACAGACAATGAGTTGAAAATGATTTTTACTTTCACGTATATATCATGCTTTTGTCAGTACAACTGACGAGGGAAGGCCACCAACTGCCTCATCGCTTTTGAGCTTAAACTCAGTTGACAATAGTTAATCGAACGTGCTGATTCCGAATATCACAATGGTTTTTGTCCGCTTTCGATTTAAAGACCCGTT